AGTGGGTTTGTTTTGTTGTGCATTGAGCTTGTCATTTCAATTTCCTCAGGAATTTTTTTTCTGTTGTTTTAGAATTGTGATTGGCATCAAGTGCGAAGCTGGGATTGTTATGGTTTGCTTTATCGTCCCTAATTTTGGTGTCTGTTGAATCTTGCTTGTGGATTCGTATGTGAATGTAATCTATGGATTTTGGAGTTTCAAGGTGTGGAGAGAACCCTCCGTTCTGGTGTGGATTTGTGTTGAAGATGATGTTGCGTGGTTTCGATTCCATTGCCATCGATTGTTCTTATTGGGTTGAAAGAACCCAGATCTGGGTTTTATCAAACCCAGATCTGGAGAGGAAGAAGAAGAGAGAAGAGAGGAGAAAAAGAATAAGAAAAGTTCAAAAAGTTACATGGGCCCATTAAAAGAGAAAGTTAAAAAGTGATAATATGATGTGTAAATGAATATGCTACGTGTATAAAAAATTTTCTTAGTTGGATTGACACATCATTAAAATTCAAAAAGTTTAATGATTTTGTGGCATTTTAACGAGCTACCTGGCATTTAACTGACGGAAGGATCATTTTGGTACCGAAAATGAAAGTTTGAGGATAGTTTTGGTACTTTTTAAAGTTGAGGGACAATTTTGATACCAAAGTGACAAGTTGAGGGACCAAAATGGTACTTAAACCACTAAAAAATGATACCAAAAATGTAAAGCCAATAGAAACAAACGCATGATTTCAAATATAAATTTTTATTTCACTTAAAATAAAGAGTACAAGCTCTAAATGTCTTTACAAAAAGTTAAAAAATTAAAAAGCAACAAACAAAATTTTTAGTCCTCTGCTGGAGGAGGTGGCTCCACTGGCTCCTCTTCAGCTGGAAGAGGTGGCTGCCTTGGCTGCTGCTCGTCTGGCAGAGGAGGCTTCTCATTGTCGGAGGGAACTGGATGAATCTCCACTTCTGGAACTGGTTGACTCTCATCCGCCTCAGCTCCCTCCACTCCTGCCTCCACCTCGTCTCCCTCTACCTCTGCTCCTTCTTCCTCCACTGCAATGAACTCGAAGTCGAATCGTGGAGGAAAAACAGCAAGACCGTCTACATCATCCTCCCACCTCAGTTTGATCTGAGGACGGAAGTCTGCTGACATGCTCTCACCATCTTCCTCCACTCCTTCTTCTTGCTCGCCGAAGGTGACCTTTGTCACATCCACTTCGGGATATGCAACCTTCACCTTCTTTCTGCAGTCTGTGAAAGCGATGATGGCAGTGGGCAGCCGGTACAGGTTGACGATGCTGTCAAACGAGCTGGAACTGATGAAGTTGCTGATGTGCTCCTTCATCCCATTGTGCACCAAGGTTTGCACGTTCCCCTTCAGCTCCAAGAAAGCTTCCTTTGTCAGCTTCAGTTCTTGCGCCTGAGCCTCACGCTCGCTTTCAGAGATCTTTCGTTTGCTCTCTTCAAAGCCGAGCTTGATGCTCAGGGAAGACCTCTCCTGTTCCAACTGCTTCACAGTTGGAACCACCTCGTCCAACGACTCTTGCAGATCTTTATTTTTCTTCTCCAGCTCCTCCTTCTCCTTCTGCAGCTGGTCACACTGCCTCTGCAAGAGTGCGCGCTCCTTTATACTCTCCCTGAACTCCTGGGCTAGACCATTCACCCAGCTCGCGCTCTGCAAATTAAAGCAGAAGTTCAAAAAGAAAAGAAGAGAAGAAGAAACATAATAAATATATAGCAACACTAACTTAACATACCTCAAGGACGTGCTTCACCACAGATGCTCCTCCGTACCTCAGAGCTTCCTCCCGTGCGTTGCACTTGTCCACTTCGAGGAAGGTGCTGTTGATGAACCACCTAGCCCCCATCACGTTCTTTGCCTCGAACAAGCTGCTCTGAGGCACCATGGGGGTAACAGGGCCCTTCCCCTTCCCAGGAGCCCGTACCTCAGCCCCCTCCTCCAACCGTCTAAGCTCGGGGTCCAGCTCAACAGGAGGAGGCTAAGGTACGAACTCAGGCACCCCACTCCCCTCTTCCTCTACCACCTTCTGCTTCTTCTGCAGCGCCCTCCTCTCCTCCCAACCCTTCCTCTTCAGTGCTGGCACCTCCTCTTCCGTCTCAGCTGAGGCCAAAGGTACCACCTCCTTCCCAGTCCTCCCCTCATCCACTTTCTTAGTTGAAGTCCTTGACTTCATCCTTGGCTTCTTGGGGATAGCCTTTCCCCCAGCAGTATTCAAAAATTGATCCATTTGAGCTGCAAAGCAAGAAACACAACATTAGTCACAGTTTTATAATCTACACTTAACGCTGCAGTATATGTCAAACAAACCTTCACTCAGAGCGCTTGGCCCATAGAGCTCAGCAGCCTCTATGCATGCTGCGTTGGTGAGGTCCATAATATTCAATACATCCCCCCTCTTCCTCACCAACCTCCCCACTTCTTCCTCCTCATCCTCATTTAAGCTAAACTTATTCTGGTTGGCCCTTTTGGCCTTCCAGGAGGCTAACACCCTCACCTCGGCATCCCCTTTCCCCCATT